CCCATTATATAGGTTGGAAGAGCTTGGGCAACAGATTTAATCAGCACCTCACGTCCCGATTGTGCTAACATGCCATCACCCCACTGAATGAGCCGCTTTGTTAAGCTGGTTTGGAGGTTCTGAAACCGCCCTTTGGACATGGGTCCCTCTGGAGTCGGGAGACCTAGATATTTCTCTTCAAACACTGTACTCATGACTTTCAAGACGCCACGTACCTGCTCCTGGATAGCAACAGGACATGCAGCTCCAAAGAACAATGAACATTTGCTGGTAAGGGACATGTTCATTGCAAGGTTTGACAATATTAACATTTGCAAGCTACACGCAGGCATATAGTTTTGGTTTATATATGTTTATGAGCAGGTAGGAAGTTTTCTTTTCTTTTCTTCAGATCTATTTGTCTTTTCTTTTTTCTGAGACAAGAGCGATCTGTCTAATTGTGCTTTCTGTGGCATAGGTCCAAATGCACCACAGGCCTTCAAAATTTCCACCAGAGTAGCATCCCCTTTGGACAGCGGCCCAGTTAGCGAGAAGCTAAAGATTGGACCGCCGGGATGACCCATATTTAAACCTGGGTATAGTTTGACATCCAGGCCAAAACCAGTCCAGACCGTACGAGTGTAGCTCCAGCATCCAAACCAAAAACTTGTACTCCCTCTCTCTCAGTTTACAGGGCGTGCGCGTATCCCTAGGTTGTCAAGTTGACCAACCTAATACAAGTCATATATTACAAAAAATATATCAATATAAACTTCAGATGTTCTATTTCAAAAGGTATAATTTTTGTGTTATATAGTTTATATTAGGGTGATAAAATTGACAACCTAAGTATACGCGTAGGACTTGTAAACTGAGGGAATAGCTATAATCTACACCAAACCAAACTATACGATATTTTCCATCCAATCCAGCTTAAACTGTTTCCAAGTTTTGGATTAAACCCACAAACTCAAACCATGGACAAAGGACAACAGCCGTGTAACTGACTAGTGGGTATCAGCTGCTCGGCTGTTGGAACTTGGATACAAACAAACTTGAAGAAGACAGTTACCGTTCAGGTCATGATCGTTTGTTCAGGGTGTGTTGGTCGTTGCGTGTCCTCTGTTAGCTAAAACGGACTCACAACGTAAAAATGGACTCACAGGGCATCGGCGATCACCGGAGACAACAAGACACGGCAGGAGAATGGACACAGAGAATTTGGTCACGGACAAACACCTTGCCACACTGACGGTTTTTCTGTTTTCTCCTCGAGCACGAACTTGATCCGCTTGGTACAATACACAGGAGGGAGGGGGACTTATAAGCGCGTGCACTCATGCGCCACGCCGCACTCTCGACGCACCCCACTCGCACACTCCGCCACATCCCGCGCTCCACGGCTCACGCGCCCGAAGCGCATGCATGCACTCGATGCGGCCGGCTCGCGCGCCCAATGCCCACGCCACACTCTCGACGCAAGCACACACGCACACACGCGCCCGTGCCCTGCATGGATCGCTCCTGGCGCACACACACACGGACAAACGCACACACGCGCCTGTGGCCTGCACGGACCGCTCCTAGCGCACACGCACGTCGGTCGCCACCGTGCCGGTCATGGCTTATTCCCAACATCCTAGGTTCTACGCTGGCGTCGGCGTGGTCATGGATGTCACCCTTGTCATCGGCATGGTCATGGAGGTGCAGCAGGTCCAAGTCAAGATCATTTTCTCCCAAGTCAGAGGCGTCCATGGCACGAGTACGCACGTGGACGGAGCTTGGGCTGGACGATGGATAGATTGACAAGAAGCGACTGAGCGTGCTGGGAAGGCGGTGGCATTTGGACCTTCGCTTGAGACTAATCCATCAATCCGGTCCATAGTTTGCAGCAGTTTTCAACCCATAAGTCCATGTTAGAAGGGAGAGAGGGTTTGGTGTAATAGTTCGTTGTATTGCTTGAGCCTCGTGGGCATATATATAGGAGTACAATGATCAACTTGGAGTACAAGACAAGGCAGGAACAAATCTTAGGCTATCCTATACTTCCTAATATACATTATACTCAACATCCCCCCGCAGTCATAACGGTAGCGACGCAGACGGTGAGACTGGAGAAGAATCCGAAGGCAAGCCGACGGACACCCCCCACAGTCGCAACGGTCGATGCATCGCGGAGTCGTGGCTGGAGTGAAAACCGACGAGGTTGCTCAAGCAGGCGGTAGCCCTTTTTGCCGTTTGTCGATGTAGCTGAGAGCGTGGGTGGTGGAGCCGTGGTCGAGGTAGCCGTGCGAAGAATGCTGTGGTCGATGTCGAGTCGGGGTAGCCGGTGTCGAGGAAGTCGTCGTGGAGCCTCGGGCGCAAGGAGGCTCCGAGTTAGTCGTGGGCGCAGTGGTGTCAAAGTAGTGGTGCGCCAGGAAGGAGATGATGTTGACGACGCGTCGCGCCGGGGTTGCCAACCCCGGGAACACATCATAGACGAAGGCACGCGTCGATGTTGCCAGCACCGGACATGCGTAGACGGACGAAGATGAAGTTGACGAAGCGCCGCACCAGGCTTGCCAGGCCCGGGAACACGTCGTGGACGAAGACACGCGGCAGTGTTGCCAGCACCGAGCATGCGTAGAATGGGACCTGCACGAGCTGTACGCCATGTCGAAGAAGTCAGAGAGGCCAGCAGAGAAGGACTCGACGACGGTAGCGACGCCAATCGGCGCGGGGCCAATGTCGCCCGCGGTTGTCGGAGTAGATGAAGCGGTCGGGGTAGATGACGGCGATGCCGGCGACGGGCTGATGCTAGACGAAGACGAAGGGGGGTGGACGGGCGACGTTGGCGACTACAGGGGTAGCGGCGGCGGCTGCCGAAGAAGAGCGGCGATGGCGGTGCTCGAAGTAGGCGAAAAACCCTGACAACGTGACGAAGACCGGCACGGACGGTGGCGTTCCCATGCCAAGGAAGACGGCGCGGCGCATACCACGAGAGGTCGACGCACGGTGACGGCGGAGTGGACCGCGGGCGGCGGCGCTACGGCCCGAAGGGGCGACGCAGCAGCGACAGGAGGGTCGGGGCGACGACGGGAAGACCTCGGGGCGGTGGCGGGGACCGCGGGCCGCAACGCTGCAGCCCAAAGGGGCGATGCAATGGCGGTTCGCGAGTCGGTGCAACCGCGGGGACGGCCTCGGGGCGACGGCGGGGACCGCGTATCGCGACACTATGGCCCGAAGGGGGGACGCAGCGGCGATGCAAGGGTCGATGCAGCCGCAAGGAGAACCACGGGGCGGCAGCGCTGCGGCCCGACGGGGCGACGTAGCGGCAGCCCAATGCTCGATCGTTGGAGAGGCACGTTGAACTCGGGGACTATCTTCACGAGACCTGCGGAGGCGCGCGTAACCGACAGGCCAGGTCGGTCGCGCGACGTAGATGAGACGGATCGCCGGCAGCGAGCGGGTGATCAAGCCGATCGCGCGCGAGGTCGGGGACGCCGCTCGGTGGAGGCGGGGTGGCAGCGGAGTCCGAGATGAAGCCGGCGACGGCGGGCAGCAGGGCGGCTATGATTGGCCGCCGCATGGCGTGAGGCCGCCGGATTGGGGTGATGCAGGAGTCCCGGTCGGAGTAGGGCGGTGACGGCCGACGTAGATCGACGGGCGAGCCGACGCGTGAACGGCGGTGGTGAAGGGCCGCCACATGACGCGAGGCCGCTGGGTCAGGGCGACCAGCGGGCAGACGCGCGAACGACGCGCGAAGCCGCTAGGTCGGTGAAGTAGCCGGCCGGTCACGCCGGTGTCGGAGTAGAGGCGCGCGCGGGTCGACGGCGGCGGCGGGCGACGCAAATCGATCAAGATTAGATCGAAAAACAAAAAAAACGCCGCTCAAAACGACCGGCGAGAGAGCAAAAAAATCCGGAGCAAGGGCTCAGGAAAAAGACTCTCTAGGGCAGCCGACCAACACGGCCGGCGGACGAACCCTAGGTACGGGTGGCGCAGCCCCCGGCGACGGTCATGGAGGCCAACCGCCCCAGGGGCGACGCGCCGGTGCGGAAGCGGCGGCGGCGTCTAGGGTTTAGAACACGGAAACTGATACCATGTTAGAAGGGAGAGAGGGTTTGGTGGAATAGTTCGTTGTATTGCTTGAGCCTCATGGCATATATATAGAAATACAATGACCAATTTGAAGTACAAGACAAGGCAGAAACAAATCCTAGGCTATCCTATACTTCCTAATATACATTATACTCAACACTATCCAATCCGTTATTAGCCACAACCCAAACCGAACCGAATTGTTTGTCCATCTAAATCCAGTGGAGACCAAACTAGTGAGACCAAATCAAAAACCAAACCGAAAACTAAGTTTTGATCCAAACTATTCCTAGTTTTACCCATATTCTTGATCTAATGGCCCAAATCTTCAAATGCATGAGAAGGCCAGGATTGGTTTCAGTTTTACTGTCCTAAAAATGGCTGATTTCCTCCTCATCCGTGGAATTGTAGCGCTCTTACACTAAGGGAGACCGGGCAAGAACCCCGATTAGCAATCTCAAATCCTAAAATTGTCGCCAAAAAATAAATAAATCCTGATATTGATATAAGCACTAAGGGGGATGTAAGTGATGCCTGGATGGTGCACCTGATCTTATTTGTTTAATAGCCGCTGAGAAAAAATTGTTGCTCGATCATACATACACACTTTGCCGGTGCAAATTACGTACTAGCTAGCCTATAAAAATTAGGAAATCACTAAAGTACATACGCGTACGAAACAATATATGCAAATGCTACACTTGCAAGCTACTGTTAGTTCATCATCAAAATAACCAAAGAACTTACTACTCCCTCCGTTCACTTTTGTAAGTCGTTTCAGACAACTCAAAATAGGCTGTTTTGCATATTGTCTGAAATGTCTTCAAGGTCTTATAAAAGTGAACAGAGGGAGTACTATATATGTACCATCTCAACGCGTCGGTTCCGGTTCAGTCACTTCAGTGCTGTGAAGCTGCCAGCTCTACTCGACGCGGGGAGGCTCATTCGCAGGCACTCTTCCCGTCACCACCGGCCGACGAGGAGCCAATGCCGACCTGCAACCACGGCGTCGTCTCCCCCGCTGCACTCACATCCTTGAGATCACAAAGCTTGGCCTTCTTGACGGCTGTGCTGTCCGCCTCGTCCTCGGCGGCCTCGCGGGGAGTAGCAGCGTCGTTAGCGTTGTGGCTGCTCGTCGCGGTCATCTTGTTCTGGTGGCTGGGATTGCTTGGTGCCGCCGCTGGCTGTAAGTACAACGACGGGGACGCGTCAAGGTGCAGCGAGCTGGTTCCGGCCTCGGCGACCGTCGCGCTGGCCATCAACGGCAACGGGTTGGCCGCGATGGTGAGGTCTAGCGCCGGCTCTGGAGGGTCCATCATTGGCCGGAGAGTGAGCTGGTGGCCAGCAGCGGCGACAAGGCCTTCGGCTGTCAGGGATGTGATGTTGGCGTGATCCCCTGTCCCCGAGGTGAGCCAGTGGCACCGCTTGTGGCCTCCGAGCGCTTGACCAGAGGCGAAGAGGCGGTGGCACACGGAGCACTCGTGCATCTTGGCCTTCTTCTTGAACGGTGCAATGGCCAACCCCGCGACCGGCGGTTCATGGTCGGTGGTCGTGATGGCCATTGACAGCGATGGCGTGGCCCCGCTCGTCCCGGCGTTCGTGTCGCCACCGGTGCTGGCATCGGCGTTTGTCCTGGCATCAAGACTGCCACCTGCATGGATGACATCGACGGGGGCGGCATCACCCTTTTCATCGCTGGGACCGGCGGCCGCTGCGTGGTGGTGAGGTGTTCCACCGACGCTGCTATCGGGCTTGGCAGCGAAGCAGCCCTTGACCTTCTTGTGGCTGGCACGGTGCCCGCCGAGAGCTTGGTGAGAAGTGAACACCTTCTTGCATGCCTTGCACTCGAACAAGCCACGTGGGAGGGGCGAGGCGTATTGCGGTTGCGGTGCTGGCAACGCCAGGGGCAGCATTATCGCTTGATCCGGCGCCGCTACGACGATCGGGAAGTGTTGCGGCCGTTGATGAGGCCTTCTCCCGTGTTCCTTGCTGGCCGGCGCGCATGGCTCTGGGTCGGCCTCGGCGGCGGCGCTAGCCTGATCGGCCTTGGACGACGAGAGCAAGACGAGGCAATTTGCCAGGTCCTCCTCCTCGTCCTCGCCAGATGGCGCCGTCGACGGCCCGGGCATTGTATCATCGCCTCCGCCAGCGACCGACTTGGCGCGGCGCGAGCGCTTCCCCTTTGACCACCCAGAGGCCAGCGACGCGTCCTCCTCTTCGTCAGCCACGGACGGAGGCGGCGAGCCGTCGGCGTCCTCCTCTTCGCCCGAGGTGCACTTGCCGTGCTCCAGGAAAAGCTCCATCGAAGAGAACTCCTTCCCACAGTTCTTGCACACCTGGCAGCCCCTGGTGAGGCGGTTAGGGTTCGCCCGGAGAGCGTAGACGTGCGTCGTCGCTGCTCCCGCCGTGGACGGCCCATCTTCTCCACCGCGCGCGGACGACACGGGATCGTCGTCGTCGTCGTCGGCGCCAGGGCCGTCGTCAGCGACGGCGTGGGCCCTCATGTGCCCGCCGAGCGCGCTGCCGCACGTGAACCCCTTGTTGCAGACTCTGCAGAAGTGCTTGTACGCCGCCGGTGGCGGCTGGGGACGAGGCGGCATCTGGCCATGACGCTCAAGAAGATGCAGCCGGTGTTAGGGAAACACGCGGCGTCAACATGTGGCGGGGAGAAGTTAAGGGTCAAAGTATAGCTCTGTGGAAACGCAAACACTTAAGTACCAGAGATGATGGAGATTCACACATGAGTAGGGCGGTTCAGTCCGTCCTCGTTAACCATGGACGATCGCGGGAAACTGTTATGCACAAGTTTAGCTAGGTTTATATATAGCTGCCATGGCCAGAGTCTATGTTAGCCGCACAGACAAGTTAGCTCTGGCTAGTGATGACAAGTGTTTGGCTTTCATGGGCTCTGAGGCAGTCCTGTCCGGTGACGGCAGTGTCGGGGGAGATATTCTCCGTCGTACGTGATCGAAGACCAGCTGGTTCTGGGGGAGGTCAAGCTTGTTTTGAGGAGATCAAAGCGGCAGTTTTGCCCACGAATCGTGCCCATCCGTTCGAGTTGGAGTTCGAGGTTTATCCTCGATCTCATAAGACCTATATTCGTATTTGAGGAAAAAATAAATGAGTTCTAGCAGATTCTAAAAACCAAACTTTACTAAAAGGAAAAAAATAGTTTCACTCCTTTAAAAACAAGCCTGTCTCCATATTACCCTCTTGCAATTCATCATGACTGGGATTGCTAAATCTTAGTGACTTAACGAAGTCTCGGTCGATATTATATTTGCGAGATCTTACGTAGACATCTGTGCAAAAAAGTATATTCTTTTTTATATGTTGTGTCACTTACCCGAGACTTGGTTAAGTCTCAAACGACAGAGATCTAGCCACACTCTTTCTCGTCTGTGGTCTCGTGCAGGTGCAACACATCCTGTTTTTCTCTACCATGAAAAGCACACATGCTTGTGTACTGCTAGTTCCTCTTCTGCATTGATAGCTCGCCTGAGATTCTCGAATGTTCTACCGCAATGATCTCTTTTTTTTGGATATTATGATTTCACAGCAATTTTGCAACATTTCTCTTAGAATATATTTGTCTAAAAATGCATTCAAGCATGTATAGCACCCTCCCCATTTCCTCCTATACATTGCATCAAAAACTCACCAAACATCTTCGGTGATGCCAAGTGATGCACATATCACTGTCTTCTGACGTCAAGTGGCTCACATACAGAGGTCGAGCAAGGGGTACCTACGAGGTGATTACCACGAATTTAAACTGTTGAAAGCAACAAACTGACTGTGCGTACCTTAGATGGTCAGGTTCCCTTGTTGAAACCTGCTCACTCGGGTTAAAATTCTAGATTTGGCATGGAGGCCTTCATTTTTCTAGATTTATTTCAAGATTTAAAAGTTTTTTCTTTCAATAGTAAGTGACGCTTCCGTCGATAGCGAGGCGTCTATGATGACTTTGTAAATCTCAAGACATGTCGGCTAAGTTTCCCGGAGGTGTCATGGGCGTAGAATGTGAATGCATTCATTTACATGGTTTAGCGCATGTGCATTGTGTTTCCAGAAAAAGAAAAAAAACAGTTTAAAATAAGAAAGAACTGATGAGAGGAAGAGGATTTGAAGCACTCGATGCTCCAGCCCTTATATGAGTATTAAATTCAAAAAAATCGGGAAAATGAAAAAACTTAGAACTTTGGGATATGAAACAGTGTGAAGTCTCAGGACAAAATACCAATAAACGTATTCTCGATAAAAAAAATCATATGTAATGAAAATAACTGTTTGGATGGATCATAGGTTGGACTGTATTTTCTTCGCCATGGATACACTTTCTAATATATTTTCATGAACTTCACACGGGAGTAGATTGAACACACATGCTTGATATTCCCAAATTCCAGATTTTTCTTGACTTTTACTTTTGTTTTCAAAAATTAATATTCATATAGGGGGGTGGAACACCTCAGAGCTCCTGTGTATTTTCCCTGATTTTTTTGAGAAACGTGTATTTTCCTTGATGAAAGCACTATTTATGTTCGGCTCAAAACTTGTCCAAATGAAGCCCACTCATGCAATTAAATAGGTTGCAGATGGGCGCCCATGGAGGGCCCATAGCATAATCTTTTTTGCTTCCTTGTATCCGAAATCACTAGTTAAGAGCATCTCTAGCAGACCCCTTAAAATCGCAAACTGCAAAACTGGGATACGGGTTGGAAAATGTGCATTTTAAGGGTTCATTTTAGCTGCGGCCGAACAGATACTGTAAAACAAACTATAAAACTGGAATAAAGAGCTCATTCCTCCAGTCCGGCCGTTGTCGCCCCTTCCCCCAGCCGGCCGCGCCGGCCACGCCGGTCGCGTACAACCACGTCGGCCGCGCCCCATCGCCCGCAGACCATGCCGCGTCGCCCGTCGGACACGCCCCGTTGCCCGTCGGCCGCGTCCCGCCCCTGTCGACTGCGCCCCATCACCGCGCCGGCCGCGCCCAGCCTCGCCGGCCATGCCCCGTCGCCTCCGTCGTCCGCACCCAACCTTGCCGGCCATGCCCCGCCGCCTCGGCCGTCCGCGCCTTGCTCTATTGCCAGCCGAATTGTGCCCCTTTGCCGGCCGCGCCGGGAGGATTCCGACGGCCAGGCTGAGGTCATGGGAGGCCACGACTATGTCGAACTCGTCCAATTCGAATCAGCGGCGCCTAGCGGCCTTTTCCGGTGAGCGGCGATGAATTCCGGCGTGTTTAGAGCGGATTCCGGCAAACTCCGCGGCGGCGTGTTTGCTCCGACGAGGTTTGACCGGTATACGGGGCCCCCTAGATTCGTCCTTCCAACCTCCAAAGATAAGGGTTTTGGGTGTGCATTTGCAGTGGCCCTTAAAAAAATTTACGGGTTGGACCAGTTTTACGGTTTCTGTTCTGGACACTTTTTTCGCCCAAAACTGTAAAACGCAAAAAAATTATGGGTTTGACCACTTATGCGCGGTCTGCTAGAGATGTTGTAAGGAGTATTCCTTATGAAGATCACTCCAACTTCCCCAGGCTGCGAGAAGTGGCGCGCTGCATGTGCGCCACTTGTTGCAACCTGGGAGTTTTCCCTTTTTTCGTAGATCCGCTTATTCAAAATGTTTTATCTCTTAAACCGTGCATCCAAATCTCGAACCGCTTTCGCCGATGGATTCCTCGCGTCGAAATCTTTAAAACTAAATCCCATGTTGATAGGTTTTGATGAACTTTTTTTTCACAAAAAAGGACGAAAAAACTGAACTGGGAGCATGGGTTTTTCCCTTTCCGAAAGAGGCACACCCGTGCCTCTGACGAAATCACAACCGTGCCTCTCGCGGAAGCATAACCGTGACTCTCACGAAAGAAAAAAAAGAAAAAACGTGTTTTTCGTTTCCGAGAGGCACGACCGTGTAACATCGCAAATTTTCAATTTGGAATGTTATACATTAGATCATCTTTGCATATCATTTTTATTGCATTTTGGCTTGATCCTAGAAATTCTACGCAACTCAAGGACCCACGGAGAGAGTTGGGGATTTCGTTATTTTCATATTTGTGTTTTCTCAAATTTTGAAAATAGTATCATTTGATTTTATTATTTTATCTTCAATTATTTTTATTATAGAAATATGAGAGACGGAATAAAATGACTTTCCCAAAATAAAGAAATGTTAAGGATTTGATAATAAAATCAAATAAGATTTTATTTTGGAGTTTATTGCTATTTTATTTGAATTTAGGAAAAATGCGCGTTTTTGAAAATTGCATTTAGGCCCCAAATAAATGTTCACCTTGTCCGGCTTGATTTTAGAAGTCGGGGAAAATTTATTTCGGGATTTTTGGAGTCTGTTTAGTATTTCTTTTATTTGTTTTTCTGCGCGTAATGATTTAAAAAAAACTAACCGACCTACCGGGCCGTGTCCGCCTAGGACTCTAGGCCCGACCGTCCTTTATAAGCCGAGGAAGCCACTCCGTAGCTTACCCTAACCCTAGCCCCAGCCCGACCCCGCCGCCGCGTGCCGCTGCCGCCCTCGCTGCCGGACCCCGCCGCCGACCGCC